GCCTTATGGGCTGTCACTTTTGGAAAATTAAATGTAAATTGATTTTTTTGCAAAATTGATTCTATGTTAATGCCACTACAGGTGTTTGCTAGTTAAATGACCTTAACAATGAATCTTTTAGGAAAGAGAGCATCCCCCCTATTTTGTAATAGAATAATTAATTCACTTCTCCCCTTAAGCTTACCTGTTTGGTAAACTTACATGTATAACATTTTCTCCAAAGTGAGGCTTATCCCAAACATGGGTAAAAGATTGGATGATAAGAATTGCTCTACTGGCCTTCTTCTAGATCAATACTTAGGACTATTAGGATCACCCAAATACAGTTGCCACCACATGAACTGAGTTGAGCTCTCAGTCTGACAACTTTATTACACACTTAAATTGTATTTATTCTAAGACTTAAATTGTAAGTAGGCAGAGATTTTGTCTTATTAATCTATGTGCCCCAATAAATATTTGTCAGATTGAATTCTCAGTTTTGTACAGTTGAAACAATGCCTCATCTTATTATATAGTTCACTTCAGTGGAACACTCTTTGATTTACTTATAGAGAACTAAAATTCATTTTAAAGAAATTTTTTAAAAGCCATATAAAAATTTGCTGAAGAGGAGGGTTGGTGGTGAAGCTTTCAAATATATCAATAACAATAAAAGCTCTCCGTGTTTGACATTTCCAAATTCCATAACTATAGGTATTGAAACTCAAATTGTTCTACATAATTAATTTCAGTCCTATATAAATATACTTGTAGATACTGTGTGAAATTGAATTTTTCAGCACTCAATTTAATCTATTTGAAGGATTAGAATATTTTGTTCTTAGTGTGGTGAATTGGGCAAATGCTGAGCCCAAAAGTTATTTCCACTGCAAACACTGCTTAAACCTTTAATTAGTTTAAACATGTTTTCTTAAGTCATTGTGATCAGTAATTAGAAGACCCAAGTCTACTTCACCAGCTAATCTTAGTATATAATTCTGAACAACTGAAATTTCAGGACGGCAATTTGACTTCAGAAGTCTGTAGAGTATACAAGATTTAGAAAGTTTTGAATTGTCCAGAAACTCCCAGCTATCAATACAATTCAAAATGTCTATGAAGTTTTAACTGTTATACCTCATTATCAGTTAATTTGGGGCCAGGTTTCTTAGAGTAACACAAAAGATTAAATTATCTAACATACATGCTAAACCTGGTGACAGTGTAGAGCATTATTTAACTTCTGAAAGTGATGGGGTTCAGAATATTTTATGCCAAAATATGGCACCTTGGCATATTGACTATTTTAAGCTGAAGGAATTTGATAAACGACAGGAAGTTCTCCCTGGCCTTTTCCCCTGAAGCAGGTTATAAGCCTCTCACATGGGAGGTGCCCTCCTTCTACCCTGAGGAAAGGAGCATCCTTACCTTTGAATATGGGACACTGAGGCGAATCAGAACTAACAGGCCTGCCTAGGCTTCCCCTTTATTTATTACACTTATTTTTACACTCTTTGTCCTAACTGATTTTTCCATGACTTTCCACTTGTCATCAAACCTAGCATAAAAATGGTCAGATATAAACATTTCTTTGGGTCTTCACTTCTTATGAAGGCTCCTGTGTCACAAAAAAACTTACATTAAATAAATTTGTATGCCTTTTTCCTATTAATCTTTCGTTAAAGCAGCCTCAGTCAAGAACTTGGAAGAATAGAGGGAAAAAGATGTTTTTCCTCTCTTATAATACTGAGAGTTAAGAATGATTTTCCAGCTCAAAAACATGAACCATAGAAGTACAAGATCTTGTTTTCATCTCCATTAATGTTTTATAGGCAGTTAAAAGATAATAAAGATGCTATTAATGTAGTAAGAATGCAAAATAAACTACATACATTTCATTCAGAGTTCTTTTAAAAAGTGAGTAATTGTAATGTTAAGGATTAAAACAAAAAGGATGATGAAAAAAATGTGAAATTGCAGAATTCTTTCCAAAGGAGACCCCATCATCAGTCTGCTACTGAGATGAGGCATCGGCCAATTTGCTCTGGTAAGGGAGGTGGGGCAAGCTGGAGGGAGAAAATGCTATCATTCTCAAGCAGCAGGGAAGAGGAGCTTAAGAGAGGTAAGACGTGACTTTGCAAGAGGCAACAGGAAGGCTCTGATTAAAGAAGTCATTTTCCACTTTGTAGAAGTACTGAAGAGCCGGAAGAATTTAGAGTGTCAATGGAAGCAAATTCTCTTCAACAACCTCTGCCTCACTATACACCCAGATTAGGGAAATCTATTTACAACAATCAACAATAAAACTAGACATAGCTTTAAATTATGCTTTAAAATCTGGGGGCAAACAAAAGCCTGTTTATTAAAGAATGTGATAAAGAGTGAACACACAATTTTATCCTTTTTAAAACCACTGGAAGACTCAGAAGAATAACAAAAACAGCAACAGCAACAACTTGCATTGGTACAATTCTTAACAACGAACAAAAACTATTTCACACAGATTGTCTCAGTTGATTACTATAGCCACCCTAAATGTGAACAAGGCTAGCTAGCATTTCCATTTTATAGAACAGGACACTGAGGCTTTGAAGAGATTGTCAGTTGCTTTCAAAAAGATATGTTACACTTGCTTTCAATTAAAAAAAATTTTTACCAAATTAAAAAAGAACCACATTCATAGAGCTAGAAAATTCATTGACCACAGCCTGTAACAGAAGCTACACTGCAAATTACATGGTATTCTCTTCCATACAGAGATTTTACGCCTTTTTTAAAAACAAAAAACAAAAAACAAAAAAAAACACAAGGCAGAAAGTTGAAATACCAGACCACCTGCTTCAATATCAGACATCTGGCAACGCCTAAGGTTAGACAGATAGTTTAATATAATGAACCATTTATATATAGCAGATAATGATCTGTAACTCAGCCTTGCTTCAAATTCAGTAGGTGACTTTGAAGTAACCTACAATGTTTCCACAAACCTAAGAAGTCAACTTCTCTAGTTCTTTCTCTTCCTGATATCTTTCTGAATGTTATCGACTACCCAAATTATGATGCGATTGTGGATAAAGGAAAGTTATGAAGACTGCCAAGTGTAATGATGCTCTTGATTTATCACAAGGTACTAATTTTCCCATACTTTCAGATGCCACGCTAAGTTCATCCCTGAATGAGTGGATTTTGGCCCTGTGGATCTAGTCTAATTCTGTTGCTGGAGATTACATGAGAAGTAAGACCTCTATTAGCTTATTGAATGACATTGGGATATTTAAAGTACGTCTGAGACAAAAAAGACTTGACAACGTTTATTAAAACTCTTCTCACTGTTTTTTACTCACTAGGCAATGTTTATTACATTCAAGGAACTGAAGTAGGTAGGGGAAATGCTTGAAATAAAATTTTAATACTGATACTTTTTAGAAAGTTTTATTTATAATTAAGAGTTTTTTTTTTTTTTTCTTTTTTTTTAGACAGAGTCTCACTCTGTTGCCCAGGCTGGAGTGCAGTGGCACCATCTTGGCTTACTGCAAGCTCCGCCTCACGGGTTCACGCCATTCTCCTGCCTCAGCCTCCCGAGTAGCTGGGACTACAGGCACCCGCCACCACGCCCGGCTAATTTTTCGCATTTTCAGTACAGACGGGGTTTCACTGTGTTAGCCAGGATGGTCTCGATCTCCTGACCTCATGATCCGCCCGCCTCGGCCTCCCAAAGTGCTGGGAAATACAGGCGTGAGCCACCGTGCCTGGCCTAAGAACCTTCTTACGGCTGAAACCTTTGACTTCCAGTGTTTACACCTGGAGCATAGAAACTGGCCTATATTTTATTTTCTTCTGAGCTAAATGTATTGCCTTGAAAAGAGAAGAGAATATTTTAATCACAAACTTTATAAAAAAGATTGCTTGAGTGCTGCTATATGAACTTTCAGTATATTGTGTCCAGGAATATGCATGCAGTACTATTTCAAGTCCTCTTTACCGATAATTTAATGCTGCCTCTAAATTTAATGCCTATTGCCTTTTCACCAGAAAGCAGTTTTTACTGATGATAATGATGATGGTCATTAGGGCCTTGGAGACTTTTAAAAGGATCCAAGGATGAATGAATAAATAAAAACCATGATGACTCATTCTGCACCAAAAGCCATTAGTATAACGCACAGCTCAGCGCAGTTCCTCTTCCCCAGAAAACTGCACTATTTAAATGTATGTAAAAAATTTTTTAAACAAAATGAGTATAATTTATTCAGAGAATAATATGAGACTGTGGAATGTCAGCAGCTAAGTAGGCAAGATGCAAAAAGGAAATACATTTTACTAGGCTGATATTTTCTCTCAAACTACTCCTAGTAGAACAACAATCAGATTCCGTCTGGTCTGTTTCATTCCTTCCTTCCTGAATGAGAGGAGCTTGTTTCTGTCACATTTTCATTGCTTTCTTTATTTCATGTTTTAAATCTATTAGAGAATGTCCAGTTGAATTTCCTTGTAGTATTGTTTCAGGCTAAGTGAAGGAAAAATAAATGCTGGGATCTTAGAGCACCATCTTTTATATTAGTTAAATTAATACGGATTAATCAATATTTCATATTCATATTCATGAAAATGTGAATGTGTAGACCCTGCCCTTAAAAACAAGCATATAGGTGTAAAGAGATGTGCTCTGAATAATTCGTTTTATGAAGACATATGTATCATTTCCCCAAAACAAAACCTGCCACAGGATGGTGTGTTATAAACCATTATGGCGCATTTTATTTCACAAAGGATTAAACCATGGAAAATCCCAAGGCTATAAAAAGATTTATGCTAATCAGGCACTGAATTTATTAGTAGAGTCTCTGTTTTACCCTTTATGAGCTATTTCAAAGCCACTGATAGGCTTTCTCATGACTTACATGATTAGCAGCCATTTCTCTATTTTTCATACACCTACTTTCCCTTTCTTCTTGCAGTAGACAGTAGAGCAGTGAAAAGGACACTGAACCAGAACTCAGATAACAACGATTCTCTACCTTACTATCCATGAAGGAGGCAGGTAACTGATCTTGGAATCATAACCAGAAGCATCTGTGCCTTGCTCTCTTCCCTGTAATGTAAAGATAATAATACCACAATGTTGGTGGATCATAACTGTTATTATGTTGTTTAGCCTGCAAAGAAACAATCAATCCCCAAAAGTTCTAAAGATAAAATGTTAGCTCTAGAAAGGTTTTTGCTTTAAACAAATTAAGTATATTAAAATCCGTATTCAAACAAAAAGATAAATGAGCAGGTAGTTATTCACTTTACTTTAGAAATATCTGATGCAGGAAATGCATTTTAAAAGTGAACTTCCATAAAATGTTCAACGTACAATTTAATTTGCAAATATTAAATTCAAATGCACCTATAGCAAGGTCTGACATACAACTGCATTTAAAAACCCACTGAGGGGCTTTGCATGCAATTTAGGCTAATTTGATAAAGGAATAGTACATCAAATTGGGCTTGATTGTTCTGAATCAACTGTCAGTCAGTGTCATTTACATGAAGCTGGTCCAACAAAAACCAAAACTTTCATTGGCTTGGAAAGAGTGGGAACTTCCCATTGCTGCTTAAATTGGAAATTAACCAGTTGGTCAGCAAAATGTTCTGATTCTTGAGCTTGACTTCCATGATGAGAATGAAATGTGTCTCTTGGTTCAGAACCCTTGCTTTGGTAGCTAGCTATACAGTGAAATATGCCAAGTGCACATTGGGGTGTTTCTTTCTCTTAGCACTATGAATCAAAGCTCTTTCTGCAAAATGCTCTTGGAACATAAATGATGGAGCTTCCCTCTGAGTCAGAGCTGGTGTGGGGGATGACATTTTGGCTTTTACTTACATGTGTGGAGCATGAAGTCAGATTTATATTGGGGTTGGTTTAAATTCTGTAAGTCATCTCTAAAGAATAGTATTCATGGTACTGTGTACACAAACCTATTCACTAATATGCATGTATGAATGTATAATGTGTGTATCATTATACATTAAACATGGTTTGGAATATAACAAAGAGGGCTATCGAGTAGGAAAAACGCATTGCTTTAAACTCTGCAATCACTCATAGAGTAGTAAGAGGTTCACACAGAAGATATAAAAGAGCTGAGAACAACAGTGGAAACAGTGGATTCCTATCTCTCATCCTACACTCTGACTGGATAAGGGGCAAAAGTCTCCCATGCTGCTTATGTTATTCTGTCTGTCTGATGAGCATATATGATGTTGCTCCACAATCTGTACCTTCCCTTCGCCTTTCGAATGGTCTTCTTACCTGCTTGCAGAAGTTCAGCATTACAATGTTGTATCTTTAAATAGAATATTCTAAAACACAATGGTGGAGCTTGGTGAATTTTACGTTCTTCCCCTTTCTTGTACAAGTACAGTTATCAGGTCCTCTAGAATGCTATGTACATCAGGTAAGGAGGTAGAAGGTGACATTCATTGTAAAGAGATACGGACTGATGCACTGGAAGCAGAACTGGATGCCACAGCTTCACAATCCATTTGAAAACCCTTAGCTTTCTTCTTCAAAGCAAAATGCTTCCTTTTAAATGGTTCATCTGCCGCTGCAGTGACATGCCACTTGGTTGCAGCCTCTCTGGGAAGACTAGGAATTACCACCACCGTCAGGATACGACCTGTGCCATTGCATCACACTTGTGTGGTTTTCCTAGCAATAAAAGGCAACAATCTGGATGTTGATGTCAGAATGGATCTGCTAGTATTCCAGAAACATTATTAGGTTTACATATACATGCTAAGTACATATTTAGTAAACTAAAAATTATGTAATAAAAGAAAATAGGTTGAAACACATAAAAGTAGTTCAGTTAATTAGCTCTTAATTAATAATTGCTGTCCATAATTGCCAATATAAACTAGGGGTTATAGATGTTTGCATTTTGAATAGTCCTTGTATCTTTATTCTAATATCTTTTGTAGAGTCAAGCAAGATAAAATATAAGAAATTATATATGTTTAAAAATATATGTGGGTATATACAAGTTGAGTATTTCCTATCAATAATACCGGGGAACAGAAGTGCTTCAGATGTTGGATTTTTCTGGATTTTGGAATACTTGGGAATACTTAGCATACTCTGGAATACCTGGGATGGGACCTAAATATAAACACAAAATTCATTTATGCTTTGTATACACATTACACACATAGCCTGAAAATAATATTTTTTTATATACACATATATATTTATTTTTATTTATTTATTTTTTTTGAGAGGGAGTCTCACTATGTTGCTCAGGCTGGAGTGCAATGACGCAGTCTTGACTCACTGCAACCTCCGCCTCCCAGGTTCAAGCAATTCCCCTGTCTCAGCTTCCCGAGTAGCTGGGACTACAGGCGCCCACCACCACACCCGGCTAATTTTTGTATTTTTAGTAGAGACAGGGTTTCACCATGTTGGCCAGGCTGGTCTTGAACTCCTGACCTCGTGATCCACCCACCTCGATCTTCCAAAGTGCTGAGATTACAGGTGTGATCCACAGCTCCCAGCCTAATATTTTATAATATTTTTAATAATTTTGTGCATGAAACAAAGTTTGTGTACATTGAACCACCAAAAAGCAAAACTGTCACTATCTCAGCCACCTATGTGGACAATCTGTGGTTGTTTGACACCACTATCATTTCTGACTCTGAATTTACATGCTACCAACAAGCAATCATTTTGTTTTTCAAGCAATCATTTTCTTATATTTATTTACTGTTACAACAAGGTGTTTAGGGTAACCTGTACCATCATGTTGGTGCTGAAAAAGTTTTGAATTTTGGAGCATGTCGGATTTAAAATTAGGGATGCTCAATCTGTATGTTCAATTCAATATGTTATTTTAGTGCTTGCATGTCATGTAGCTGTAAGTGCAAAAATATGTGTCTCACCTGTACAGATATACTCATAATTAATTCCTAAAGCATACAGAGCATCATTTGTGGTAACTTAGTCTGTGGTGCCATTCTATTCATTGATTAGTTGCAATTCAGGATAATTACAATAACTTGACTCTCAGAAACAGTTTGCTCTTTGTAAACCTTTGCATTTCTTTAAAAAATTTTGAGATGGGGTCTCACTATGTTGCCCAGGCTGGAGCACAGTGGCTATTCACAGGCACAATCATAGTGCACCGTAGTCTTGAACTCCTGGACTCAAGCAATCCTCCTGCTTCAGCTCCCAAGTAGCTGGGTCTACAAGCATGAACCACCATGCCCTTCTACCTTTGCATTTCATAAAGATTTTTATAAGAAAAGTGATCCTCCTGCCTCAGAATTCCGAACAGCTGGGACTACAGGTGTGAGCCGCCATGTCCCGCTACCTTTGCATTTCATAAAGACTTTTATAAGAAAAAAATAATACTTTTATATTATAAATGCAATTTGTTTTGAATGTATGAAAATTATTGCTTCTAACTGCTATGATAGGTACTTAGATTTGTTTCATCCATTAGTTGTAATGGACTTAGTCTGCGTCTAAATCTGCCTCAGATTTCTGGGATCAGTACAGAAACTAGGGCTATTTCAACAAGATACTTTAAACAAACTAGCATGTCCAAATGTGAATTTGTCACCTTCCTTACCAAACATATCTTTTTCACCTTGGGAAATGTCAACTATCAACTTAGTTGTCCAAAGCTGTAGAACTAGGTATTACCTTTGTCTCTTTTGTCTTATTTAGCTCCTTCTTTTCACCTCATTCCAGGCAGCCAACAAATCTTACCAATTCTAACACCTTAGAACCATTTAAATATGCCTATTTCTCTCTGTTGCTTTACTTTTTCCTTAACATAGGCCACTGTCATTTGTATGCTGCTTTGATTTCTGCAAAGCCTCCTAACTGGTCTCCTCAACTCCAGCCTTCTTCTTTAATCCATCTGCCACACTTCAGCCAGAGTAATCTTTTCCTTAAATATATCTGCCTTTTTTTTTTTTTTCAAGCTCTTGCATGCTTAAAATTATTCAATGGATTCTGGTCCAATGTCCAGACTTCTTAGCATGACTCATGAGGCCTTTCAGAATCTGTCCTGTATCTATTTCAACCAGTTCTGCATGCCCCACCCCTCACTCATTGCTGGAGCCACGTAGAATTAACAGCAATTCTTTCAGCTCTCTCTTCTCTCTAACCTCAATTTTGGAATTCTCTGTTCCGTTGATACAGAAGGTCCTGCTCCAACTCTACTTGGCTCAATCATGTCAATATTCCCAGAGGTTAGACTTATCTTTTACTGGGGAAGTCTTTCCTGACCATCCCTTGGTCTCCAAATTGCACTGTGTATGCCCCTTCACATCTAGTCAGCATTCAACAAATATCTCATGTGTCTTCCCTATGCCAGGTGCTGGTTTAGGTGTTTATAATATGTAACAGAACAGAACCATGAAAATCCTCGCCTCCACGGAGCTTGTATTCTTCCAGTGTTATCGTGACAATTTATCTCACTATTGTCCTCATTCTCTCTTCCTCCCTAGATCAAGGCAGTTACTCTCCTGAGATTATTGTATTATCATGATTAGTACAATGTCCAACCAGTAAATATTCACTTAGGGAATGAATTAACTGAGAAAATGGGAAGCAAAGAAATGCCAACACATTATATTTCTTTTATATTAGATCATTATAATTATTTCGAAGCCAGGGAAAACTTGCTTAGAAGTAAAAGAATTTAAGCCTTTTATTTTAGTTGGGAATTTGATAAGTAGACATATGAACATGTCTTCAAAATTATACGTAACCCTCTCTCCCTCTGAATTTGCTTTCAATCACTGAGTCCTTTTATAACCTCTTTTAATTTCTAGGCCAATCTGCCCATTTCTGACCACCTGAGTCTATAATAGAAAAATCAGTATCAGTGATGGAAAAATCATCAAGCAATCATTTTCTTATATTTATTTACTGTTA